AATTAAATTTTCAGGCTAGCGGCATGGAGGGGGCTTATAACGTGCTATCCAATGTTGAGCATCTATATCATACAGCCCATCCGGAGATGCAGGCGGCAATCCAATATGCCAAGAGCCTTCTCTACACATCTCTGACTGTCGGAGGCGGAGAGATCGGTCAAGGGACGTCGTCAAGCCAAGTTTTATCACAAGAGAGCTACGTCCAACCCCAGAGGACGCAGTCACACCGAGCGAGGCATCAACCTCCTCCCCATATTCGTGGAGGTAGAAGACGACGTCACCGCGAACCAGTTGCCGACGACGGGCCTGAGGATCAACAAGAACAAGGTAAACATCTTTTAGTTAACAAAAATATAATTTTATTTTTGTTTTGTGATTTTTTGTTAAGTCAAATTTCTGATTTCTTAAAAAACTGAATTACTCAGCTGTAGAAGAAGAACAAGAACCTACCACGCCCACAGCATCGACTTCTGCACAACCACCACAGCGTCGGATTAGCAACCGACCGCGCAACCCTACGAATCGATACACTCCTAGTTAGTTGTGTTGTATTCGGAGACATTTTGTAGACATATATATTTATTTTTTTCTTTCGTGGATTTATGTGTAATGATATTTGAACTTGTTTGGATTTTTATATTTGGAAAGTGAATTATTGTGCTTTATTATTGTTTCTTTGACATGGTTGATATGGGATTTCTGAATTTATATTTCGTTGTGGAATCGATCTCGATTAACAGGTGTGTGTTTGTAATTTTGTCCTTGTAAATTGCTGTATTTGCACAGTAAAACGTATTTTCAAAATACGTTTTTGTACTGTGCAAAATTAGGTCAAAATCGATTTGGGGATAAAATTAGGGCGAAATCAATTTGGGGCAAATTTGGTTAAACAACGTATTTTGAGAATACGTTTTTGTACTGTGCAAAATTAGGTCAAAATCAATTTGGGGATACAATTAGGGCGAAATCAATTTGGGGCAAATTTGGTTAAAAAACGTATTATGAGAATACGTTTTACTTTTCCAAATATTATTTTCCAAAAAAATTAGTTTTTTAAAATTAAAAATATTAATTTTAAATATTTTTTCAGAAAAACGTATTTCGGTAATACGTTTTTTAACCTATTTTAATTAATTTAATTACGATAATCACCTTAATTAATTTTTTTAAGAAACACGTATTCTCAGAATACGTTTTTGTTAAAAAACGTATTGTGAGAATACGTTCTTATTTAAAAAACGTATTCCGAGAATACGTGCTTTTGATTTTTTTCCACTTCTTTTATTTTTTTTTTATTTATGTCCACTTAATTTTTTTTATTTTTATATAAATAAATAAATCGATATATATACCTATAATAATGAGATTGAAGATACATCGTGCAAGTATTACCCAATAACGTCAGTATGATAAATTAATATTTGACTCAAAACATTTTTTTTATTTTTATTTTCCTTTCTTAACGTTCCTTGGACTATGCTATATAAGCCAGTGAATTAGATTTTTAATTAATTATTCATTTATCTGGATGGGCTTGACCTTAAAACTTCGTTGTCCATTGTTTCATCATACATTTGTTAATATATAGTTCGAGTTTATTTTGGGATAATTTTTCAGCAATAAGCTTACACTATATAATGTTATTAAATTATTTAAGTGTAATGTATTTATCAAGTAATTACAACTTGTACAATTAAGTGATTTTTTAATGTAAAGGTTTTAGGGTATGACGATATAGATCCAACCAAAAAAAATTCAATTATTTTTATTAACTCAATTTTAATTCAGTGTCTATCTTCAATATAATTAAATAATACTAATCAATCATTCTTACGCATCACATCCCTTTAATTCACTATTCATCCACTCATATAATTTTAACTATAACAATCACTTTACATTATTTATATCCTATTTTCACGTCAAATCAACTTTAATTATTTTATTTAAAATATTATTTTAAAATAAACCCAAAATATCATAAACAACTAACCGTATTATATTTTTTAAAATTAATTATAGTTAGCAAAATACTAATTAAAATCAAGTCAAATCCATGTACAATCACACCTTTTTTTGGGCAAAAATCCTTTTGGACAATAATACTTTTTCGATATATATGCGTTATTCAAGACCCATGTACCAAAAATGAAAACAAAATAAAGATGCACTAGGTTGACTCCATTTTGAAAGAATATCGAGTTTAAACATCATTAAATTCGCTAACGACTTGGAAAATCATAAAAAAAAAATTGAAAAAAAAAAAATTACAATAATCACCATCCCAAACAATTTGTCGACATGACATGATTATATTTTACAATCATGGGCCGAAAAATGGCCCAAAACATGCTCGAAAATGGGTTGAATATGGGCCAATACTGCATAGAAAGTTTTATTTTATTTTTTTATTTAAATTAGTGACTAAATGAGTGTTTTTTGAAAAAAATGTATGTATAAAACTTTATTTTCCGAATGCCATATTTTAGCATTTGTTCGTGTTGCATGTAATGTCACTTCAAAATTTTACAATTTTTAAATTTCAGAACATCACAATGTACTAATATTGGGTCTAAATAAAAATAAAAATAATGTTAAATGCAAGGGAGAATGTGCGGGGATCAACAGAGCATTGACTTTTTGCGTTGACATTGTGTCACCGTCCCATTGCGTGCCCTAACAATTAAACAACTATTAAAAGTTAGTTAAATTAAATTTAAATAATAAATTATATATTAACAGATAGCGTTGACTTCCAACATAGCATGAATTAAGGGGTGAACATGAGTTGGTACGGTTCGAAAATTGAGAAATCTCTAGAACCGTGTCAAATTTCGGAGATCACTAAATTCGATTTCCGGAACCGTACCAAAAAAATTGGGACGGTTCGGTTCGGAGTTTTTATTGTTCGGTTCTGTATTTGAAACTATCGGAATGGCTCAGTTCGGTATGGTTCGGTTCAAATCTTCGGAGATTTCTTACTTTTTTAATTTTTTTGAATGACTACCTAGTTATATTTTAATTTTTATATGCTTTAATAAAACAACATTCATCAATACTTCATCATAATGAAGATTCTATTTTGAAATCAACTTTAGAAGTAACTCTAAATTTTAGTTATTTAATTTCAGTATGCCTTTTTTTTTTCGGAACGATAGAGAATTTATATGTCAAAACGCATAAATGTGCAATGATACAACCCCTAGTTGAATAATACAATCAAAGCTGAATAAACTGGGAGGACAGTTTAGAAGACCGCCTAGAACCGACACTAGCAACGCTAGAAATCAAAAATAAGACTCACGACACGACAAACACTAATAAAAACTACAAAGCTCTCAAAATGAGAATAGAGACGATCCCAAAAGGATAATGCCCGCTCTCACTCGGGTTCACAGAGGCCAACGGCCCAAACCAAAAACATGATACCTAACAGACAAAACAAAAAAAACTAACACACCTAGAAACAACTAAATAAAAACTAGCCCTTCCTCAGCAGCACAACCAAGTAGAACCAGCGGACCGAGACGACCCCTAAGAGAAATTCAAAGCCCTGGAAACCATCACTCCATTGCCGAACCGCCTTGATGAAATCAAGTTTAGAAGTAACTCTTTTAGTTAAAATTAAATTTGTGCAACTAATATTGAAATTTTAAAATTCAAATAACATATAATATAGTTTTTTTTTTTTCTTAAATCATTA